GGGGGGGGGGTCGTATGGGAGAGCATAATAGTGGCTGAGATTGTTCATCGTCATAAATGTATGTAGGTCATGCATGAAAACATACTTCAATTATTTGCTAAACACCTTAAAATGTGAGGGGTTTTTCTGACAATTTTATGTTCATTTGATTTTATTTCAGCTCCTGTAAAATTTGGTGATACGAATACAAGTATTATGTTAAGGTTATACGTCTTTAAACATAATTATTATTAGAGTAACATACACAATAAAATCTTCACAAACAGAAGCTTCAAATATACAGAATACGACACCAATGTCATAACCTGCCTTAGCATAATTGTTTAGTATACTATACCTGATGACACCTGATGACGTCAGATGAGGCTTCGCGACAAGAATGACAACAGTGACGGACCACAAGTCAGGGATGTCACAAGATACAAAATTACCATTATCTGTAAGCTATCATCGTAAGTGAGGCGGGTTTTCGTCTTTTCGTTATTTCGTTATTTCGATTGGCGTTATTTCGCGGGTGACAAAGCGAAAAGACGAAATGTCATATATAAGCCACCTTACAAAAGAGATACTTTTTCACAATCATGTTTCGATATAACTGGCTTCAGGACTTTCAGGAAAGACTCTGACGCTCCTGGTGGAGGCCCCCTGGCTACTAAGATATCTGACCTACTATGTACAGGCTAGGAGAAGGCGGAAGACTTTGTGAGTCGAATGCACACTACGGAACAGAAAACGGTCTGTGTTAAGAGACATAAGTCCCCATCCATTGGCGATTACATATTTATGGACACAGCAACAGTAGGTTCAAATATATATGATGCTGTAAGGAATTTAAATTTTGATATTTTAACAGAGGTAAGACTCTAGTGAGTATATGGTAATGTAGAATTAGTAACCCCATCGACATAGCTATCAAGTTTCAGAGTTTTGATAATTTTAACCAGGGAACATATATTTTTAAAAGATCTTGGTAAGGGTACTCTTCCACAAAGCATATATATATTTTTGATGAAGTCGATGAAATCTTTTTGGCGCATGGGCAGCCTTTGAAGGTAGTATAAATATAGTAGATGAGCATATGTGTTTTAATGAGATACAACTGAAAGTAAACAAACCGCCATTTTAAATTATACCATGGGTTTTTTTAACAAATATAAAACATACAAACTAGCTGCTGCCTGGTAGACACACTGGGTACAGCGGAATTTGGTCGTAAATAAAACGCCAGTTGGAACAATGTATAAGAAACATTTAACACGGAAAGATGTGAGTAAGATAATGGGATGGGCCACTACCACCTCAACCCTCGGGGAAAGATTCTTAAGTTGTCAAACACTCGGCAAAGCCTCGTGTTTGGCAACATAAGAATCTTCCCCCTCGGGTTGAGATCCCCCTATCTCACCCTCAAGGGAGTGAAAGATTCTATTATTCTCTCATATTCGGTCATGTAAGATAACGCTGGCCATGTAAGATAGCCATGTTTGCTGAGGGCGTGATGTCACAATGACTTAACAATGACGTGACGTCACGAATTTGGAAAACACCGATGCCGCATTGCGGAAAAGGCAACGTGATGAATTAAAACCCTTTACGATATATTTACCGTACACGTACAATGTTAGAAGCATGACATTATTTGTTCTGCGCAAATATGGGGTATGCTTAATCTCGCCGACGAATTCGTTTTCGTCAAAAAAGCTCAGGGGAAAAATTGATATTTTCAAAATGGTAGCCGGTCCAAACGCATTTTCATGGTTTCTGAGCTTATTCTGATAGTTGGAATGAAAGGGTTGCTGTATATTCGAAAATCCAGAGCGCAGTGAGATAAGTAACCATAATGAACCTAAATTTCTTAAATTAAGTTTCTCCACTAGAAAGTATTATTAGAGTGAAAAAAATCTAAACTTTTTTGAAATGCTTTACAAATGTTTTTTATGGAAAATTTTAAGTTAAAACATTTCCTTAACTGAAGTTCTTGAAACTGGCCTGATATATGGATGTGCAAAAACAAGGTTATCCTGCCAAACGTTCATTTCCATCAGCAAAGAAATGAATACCCTTATATTTACCACGTTAAGCGATACTTTTCAACAAAGGTATTTGTTCTGCAGGAAATTAGCTTAGTTTTTCTGCTAGATAATATTCAAAACTGGTCACATCATTGCTCCAGGTTGTTGTTTCTGTTTAATTTGTATCGATATGTTTCCAATCGTAGTGACTGTTTAACAAAATCTGGGAACATTCACAGTAATCTTTATACATGTAACAACATGCAGCCGGACAATCCACTCGTTTGCTATGCTGAGGTGTTTATATTTGGACCAAAATATTCGGCGAACTATTTTCCTGATAAAATATTATCTTATTCCGATTACAAGAGGACAGATATCATAGTCATATAACCTGCTTTAAATTATCAATATTTATCTCTATTGCAGGCAGTTCTAAAGCCAGAGTCAGATATTTCTTATAATGGCTATAAATGGCAAA